CCCTACACATTCCTGTAGTGATTGACTGCTGCTGACAGATTCATGTTTTCAGCCTGAAAGATTGGTTGTTCTTAAAGCAAAGGGTGAAAGACTAAGAGATGAGAAACTGAAATTACTTTTGCTGTCAGAATATAGCCAGACATCTCCTGAAGCCAGATAATCTACTACAGACACAAAAAAAAGACAGAACTACATTAACACCACTGCACTCCCAAGAGCCCAGAGAGATGAGATCTGAAGGGCTCAGTAAAAATGTCAAATATCCAATTGCTTCTCAAACCAGCTGGATTGTCATGGGACTTAACAGCAACACAACAAGGAGGAGAGGCATCAACTGAAATGAGTTTTCCAGTGTATTTAACAGAGTCTTGTACTTTGGTGTAAGATATCACAGTCAATCTACTGGGCAAAGTTTTCCCCTTGTCTAGCAGGGGGCCAGATATGGAAAAGCTGGAGATTCATCTATTGTTATAAAACAGTTGACTTTTCATTGCAGCTCATTTAAGACCAGAAAGACACACGAATAAGAGGAGATGAAGAGGGAAGAACACCATTTGTCTAAGGCTGTAGAAGAAAGTCGGGGAGAGTGTAATGTTGCTGGACCTTAAACCATTAATCATAAGGTTTAAGAAGAAATAGTGTATATCAGAAAAAAATGAGTTATACCTATGTACTCCAGAGTACACCAAAAGTGGTTATGCAGCAGAAGGGATAACATTATCTGCTCCTTTATAGTGCAGATAGCAAAAAATAACAGGCTTGAAGTACAACAAGGGAGACTGAACAGCAGAAAAAGCTGTAACAGGAGGGAAAATAAATAGAAAAAAATAGATGAACAAATATCTGGGGAGCTTGCAGGCTCTTCATCAACGGACGTCCCTGAAAACAATCCAGCCAAACATCAGCCATGAATGACAAAGTCATTGCTACTACAGCTGTTTGGGCTGGGGCATGAATGGGGGATGATTATGGGATCACCTGAGGTGCTTCCCAGCTCTATATTTCTGTAACTGAAAAACACATCCTAAGGATCTACAGAGATTCCACTTTAAAAACTTCAGAAACTGAACACAAACACCAGGAATGACATAGGCAGCTTCTCAAACGTTGCTTGCAAGCAGTCAGAAATCTTCCGGTGGTCAATACTGCTATGGAAAACATTTATGTGCTTTACACTGGAACATATTCCATAAAGAAATGAACAACAAACCTTTACAGAGGAAGAGTCAGAAGTGAATAAAATCTCACCTCTCCTACACTAGAACTGAAGGGACATTGCCACTGTTCATCCTGCTTGTCAGACACAATAATTTATACCCCCTGGTACAAATTACTGAGAAAGTAAAGCACTGCTAGGATCTTCTGTGAAGAGAATAGCTAGAGCAAGGAAGTGTGATGGGAAAGAGCATTCAGCTTGAGAAGCTACAGAACAGTGAGGGAATAGTTCCAACGTGTTTGCAAAGCAACAGTTCGTTTGTGTCCCCAGATGCAAAGAAGTGTTTTAACATTTAATAAAACGCAGGACCAAGTGATATGAGAATGCTCCAACTTGTTAAAAATAAATACATAAACAAAATGCAAAAGCTTTGTCATGAAAATAACTCGGGCAAATAAGACATTTACCATTATTAATGCACTCAGCTTATTAATTAGCTAAATAATGCAGGTGACAAGAATGTGGACACTACACAAATATAATTTGGTCACTCCTGGCCACCATTTTGGCCAACACAGCTACAAATCATCACGACCACTGGAAGTATTCAAAAAACATGTGGACATGGCACTTCAGGACATGGTGATGTTGGCTTGATGGTTGGACTTGATGATCTTAAAGGTCTTTTCCAATCTTAATGATTATGTGATTCTGTGAAATGAACTGGAGAGCTGCAGAACTTAAGAGTATAGCAGCTCAAGACAAGCAACCACATCTCTTCAAGGGGTGTTGTAATAGACGTGGCTTGTCTGTGAATTAACATACAAGTGTACCTGCAGCAGATATTGAGTTATACAACTACGCTGCAAAGACAATCGCTGCCCCACAGCTCCAAGAGACAAGGGGAAGGACTGAAGGGGAAGGATTGGAGGAGAAGGACTAACCCAGGGACACTCAGGACATCCGTGTCAGAGCTAAGAAGGGTAAATTGCACAAACAGCTAGTCACGGTGTGTAAAATGAAAAGTGCCGACATACTGCATTCCTTCCCTTTCACCGGGTCAGGTAGTCCAGAGCACTCCACCGACGGATTCGGGACAGCCACCCTCCATCTGGAGCCACTGCTGTCGCACTCTGTGTACTCGAAGTGGTAATCTGTCTGCAAGCAATTACAAAGAGTTTCAGTTTCATCGTAACATTTGCATATTAAGCTCATTAATCAAGACTGAGATTAGCAAACTCAGTTATAATTAAACCAGAAAGGAAGTAGCTGGTGTGGAACATACTGTGCAGCACTCTCACTGCTTTGATGACCACCGTGTATCATCACAGAGAAGCACAAAGCACATCGGAAGTTGTGCAGCGCAAATGTTAAGGCAGAGGATGGGATTTGCAAACGCACTTGAGAGACGGGACACAGATTCCACCAGCATTTTTTTCCCAGTCTCTGAGAGCAGGATTGAACCCAAACTTCTGGTCGTCATGATATCTGATCTACAGTAGCCATCGAGGCTTCCCCTTTGGTCAATGGAGCAAGCCATACCCAGAGCACAAGTCATCCCATGTTAGGTTGGCTGTCTAAGATGGATGGGATGAATTGCTTTCTGGGAGTGCCTTTCCCTCTTCATCGATTTCAAAGGAAGCCCAGACAAATTAGGGGAGATAAACCCAGTATTGGGATACCTCTGAAAATGCCATCCAGGGTCAGCTCTGAGGAGTACCCCAAGGCAGAATGGTGATGTGAGGGAAGATATCCCCATGGTCTCTGAGGCTGAGATAAGCCTTGAGTAGTCTAAGTGAAAAGCAGTAAGAAACTTCCTAGCATTAACTAGGAAAGACTATTAGCTATTTATCTTATTAATAGTATTGATTCAGATCCTAGGTACAATCTAGACTCACATCTAGTTACCTTTTTAGTCTTGCCTTTGTAGCTTTGTTTCCAAATTCATAGCCCAGAATTTTGCTATGAAAAACAAACCTCAGCAACATCTCATTCTTGGGTTGGTTTGGTATCAAGAAGGAGTTTGGGTGAAGCTGGCAGAATTGGTGCATACCTTTCTTCAGACGGAACAGACCTACATTACATGACACATATCGGCAAGCTCCATGAGATATCTTGACATGGGCATATGCCCTTGACATGGGCAAGGTCACCTCCAGCTCCCTTTGCAGTCAATAGAGGGAAAAGAGTGGCCACCTGCCTATTTTAGACACGTGCTGCAGAGGAGACGAGGAGATAACACACATCCTAGAAATGCCTCTTTCTCTCCACTGGCTACAGAGGAAGACCAGTCACTTGGTTTGGATGGAGACTTCCCCATTTCCTCAGAGGAACCTCACCTCCAACACCACACAGCCCTGCACGGCCCATAAAAATAACACACAAAATCATGGGACTGAGGAAAAAGGGACCAGAGCTTTAGCCACAGGCTCAAGATTTATGCAGTTTTAGGGTAGACTGGTGTGGGGAATCCATAAAATTTGTTGGTTCCTTTCAATTTAGCTGGCTTCTCCTGGCAGAACTGACCATGAAACAAAGAGGGGGAAGGCAATGGTCCTGTCCGCAGCCCAAAGCAGAAGCAGAAGAACTCCTTAGCTGGCATAGCTCACTCTCACTACAGCAAAACCCACCCATGAGGCAGCATAAATCTGTCTTCCTAAAGATCTGTGCCACCATGAGTGCAGACATCCGTCCCTGAGCTACACTACCCTACCCTAGGAGGAGGTACCCTGTGCACACAAGGATTATTTTGGGGGCAATCTTTTCCTTCACCTTGTATGACCCCTTACAGTGCCAGCATCCCACATAATGGAGCAGAACGGGGGAATCAGTTGGATAAGGGTTGGTTCATGTTGGCTCTCGTATAGTTTAATCTCTGCAAATATTCAGCTGACTCACAAGGAGAAGACTTGCAATTCTCCTCATTTACATATAGAAAAACAAACAATACTGAGTTTAATACTTTGCCTACTGTTACCATAGCTCTCCAGAGATGTTCAGAGGTTAATAAAGTTCTACCTAAACATCATTAAAGCCTTTGTTATTTTGCATCCAAGTGCAAATAATATTCTGATTTCTCTGGAATTAATATTTTCATGGTTCAATAAATGTCTTTGTGGCTCAGCCTATGGTTTAGAATCCTAACTAACAGCACAGTGGAAAGCAAAACTATTTGTCTCAAAAATAAATCAAAGCATAAGAAGATACTATCAAACCCAGAGCTACACATGAAATATGATATACTACACTCTCAACTCTACAAATATACTGAACTGAAATATGCATTTCCCCCCTTTTATCTCATTATACAATCTTCAAGCTACAGAAAAAAAACAGTGCTTAACCATCTTGGTATGAAATCTGCCTATAAGGCAACCAGAATGTATAAATAACATATCCGTAATAGATCCATCTCATAGTTCATACCACATAGGAAACAAGTGATCTATTAAATTAAATATGCAAGAACGGAGTGAGGCAAAGAAAAGGATATTGAACCCCCCTGAATCTGACTCATGTTCAGATCTCTTTTCTGTTTCATATCAGGTCAAAAAAATTACAGAGAGTAGTTTGGTGTCAACAATCCAGGTTGTTCTCATAGCCACCCTCTCAAAATAGCCTTCAGGGATTTCTAGCCAGCAATTCCTCTGCAGCCGGGAAGGAGCCACAGGGGGTCTCAGAAGTGGTGCAGTTGGGAGGGACACACCATGCAGTGCAGAAACTTCCCCTCTAATGGTGTCTGACTGTCAACTTATCACCGGAGATTCAAAACTCAGGACAGTAACTAAAATTATAAAGAAAAAAGTGTTTCTTCTTTCCTTCCAAGTTCAGGTGGAAGAGTCAGGTCTTCATCTCTTATATTCCACCCCTCCATGGAAATCTCTCCAGATTTAACCAGCCCAGATGAAGTTTTCAGCAGAGATGGACCCAACAGATGTCCTTCCCTCTGACCACCCCATCCCTGTGTGCAGCTAGACGTGTCCACAGGGGAGTCCCAAGGCTCACAAGGAAGGTTGTACAGCAGAACTAAGTTCTTCCATGGCCTCTTTCCATTACTTTTTACTCTACTATGCTCAGTTCCCTTATGGAAGAGGGGGATCTTTTTTTTTTCCCTCTGACTTTCAAACCAACTTTATGTCCAAAAACCACTCCACAGACTTGCTTGTTCCTCTGGTAATTGACTGTAATGAAGACTCTATAAATTAATTTCTGCCCTTGGTCACAGATACATACCTCCAAAATCTCTTCCAGCTACGATCACTACCATCTTCTCCCTTATACTATAGTTTCACCTAGAAACAACTACTGAGGGTCCAGTTCTTTTAAAACCAGAATATATCTGTGCTGCATCACAGGCATGACAGCAGCTCAGAACTTCGACTGCACCACTGGCCAGCTTTAAATTAACCACCTGGCTACTTTTAGCGAGTGAATATAACTGCATGGAGCTCCGGTTCAGTTACGTGATCCAGCATCTGAAGCTGATTTAGTAGCCGTGCGTCCTCAGCACCCAGCGTAGCTCAGGTCCCTCCCCAGGAGCTGGAAGCATGCCGGGACTGCAGCACCGACACCCTCAGAGCACACGTGATATATGCAAGCCCTGGAAATCGCCCGTTAACGCTGGCTTACTGGGCTCAGCGCTTCTAATCTGCCTCAGCAATTTGAACTTCCAGATATAGAAGGCTGACAGAGGATCCTCTTCAGCACCGCGGGACGCTTACAACACCTTTGCATCTCAATGAAAAATGCCGTTCCATTATGCTGGGATTTCTTCTCCTCCCTGGCAGGGAAATTTCTTCACCCACCAGGTCTCTGAAATGAATTTCATGGCAAACCCATTGCCAGATGTTATCTGTTGCCAGCTATTACTCTGGTTTTGCTTTCAATGTTTTTTCCTCACTAGCATCCAGACATATAGTATCTTTAAATTCAGCCGTGGGCCCATTTTAATTTTAACTGTAATTCTGACTCTGTTTTATTACTTTTCTGGGCTTGGCCTTAATGTTCTAAACATGTCCCTCCCCCAGTTCAGCTGTTATTTCCTATAATGTTTCCTATTTTATTTCTCATAATTCCCAGGCTTTGGCAAACCTGGTTTGAATCTCAGAGCCAAAGAGTAGGTTTCCATAGAAAAGTGTCTCTCAAGAAAAAATTAACAGCCCATATAGGGTTAAGCTTAAAAGAACGGCAATTTTCTAAATGGAAAATTGATGCTGTTCCAAGAAGCTGCTCAGAATCAATGTGTAGTCCTCAGCATGAAATTCCAAATGAAAAGTTAATAGTAACCTGAAAAATGCCACCAAAAACAGGCAAGTGTGTTTCTTTTACCCTCTGCTGAAATTTGCTTTATTGTTCTTGGAGAATTAGTGAAATCACATCTGCACTACCATGCAAAGCCGTTATAAGAAGCTCTCTGACGTACGTATGCTCTCTTTGAAGGACACCATGTACAAAAAAGATGCCCTTATGCGTGCACATGACATCAAAGAGATGGTGCACTGGTCACAGCTCTGCCGGGGGAGATAAAAATGACAGAATTTGTCCAATGTCCTATGTTCAAAAAGCATCGAGATGGGATCAGCGGTGTGGGCCTGTCACCCTTGCACGCACCCCGTGCAGAACTCCAGCAGATATCTCCTGGCTCTGTGGGGGCACCCGCACCTCCTGCTCTGCGGCCCACCATGACCTGACTGAGCAACACTTCAGCGAGGCATGTCCCCCCCAGTGTGTCCTCCAGCTCCACAACTCCTCTTCCCATACAACCCTTGGCTTGACTTCAGGTGGCACCGAGTGCTCCTCCTTGCCCAGGTCCCCGGACCCAGCGCATGTAGCGTCAGATGTCTCCAGTGCAGACCTCCACATCTGAGCCAGTCACCTCACAGTCCTTTACAACAGCTGACAGACACAGGCATTTCCAGGGCACAGCTCCTCTTGTCTTAAAGTAAACACCTATTTCAGGGCATTTCTGAAACTCTAGAAGTATTGGTTTCCTCTCCATTGACTGGAAACTTTCTCCCAGGCAACCCACTGTAGAACTGAGCTTTCTCCATGACGAAGAGCAACACCCACTTCAGTGCCTTGCCTATTTTTCTGCACCAATCTTTTCATTCCCTCCTTTCACCTAGATGGAAGATGCCCTGTAGCCCTCCCCACTT